CGAGGAGCCCCCGGGGAGCGGCCCGCCCACCCGCCTGCTTCCGTGGGGGCTCGAGAATGAGGAGAGTGAGGGCCTGGCTCGCAGGAGACGACCCGGGCCTCCTCCGCCAGGTCACGGCCACCAAGTGATGGGAAAGCAGGTTTGGACAGAAGGATCCAGGGGAGCGTCCAAAGCCCCAGGCAGGGCGGGCCCGCAGTTGGGAACCGACCCACCAAGAAGGAAGACGCTCGGGGCCTCGGGGAAAGAGAGACGCAAACATTTTCGAACTGGTCCCAGCGAGCACAGACGTGGATTCTTATGAACGAGGATATCAAGGCTCTGGATTCTGATTCTTTCCCTCCACCTGCGAGGTTTTGCCCGAGTTACCCAGAAGCACGCACGTCTGACCACAGAGGGGGCTCCTGTTCCCCAGCATCATCACGGTCGAATCTCGGGTCGGGGGGCTTCCTCCTCGAGCACAACCTGATCCTACCGGTTGTGGTCCTGGCTTTCGGGTGCCCTCGTGTTCCCGGTCCCTGACATCAGGCCCGGCCCTCTGTTCCCCCCCCCCCCCCGACACCTTTCAACAAGACCACATTACAGTCCCGCCGTCACACACGGGGCCCCGGGGACGCTGGCATCATCGGTCGGCAGGTGGGAAGGCGGTCAGGCAGGGGGTTCTAGGGCGCAGGCCCGCTGGGGACCGTCTGTCTGTCCAGTCTGTCACAAGGTCCCTTCCAGCACATCTGCGGGTTCCCGAGCTGCTGTCACAAAGACCGTCCGCTCGCCCCGTGCCCTGGGAGTTCCTCTCCACCAGGGGGAGAAGGAGGCCTTCCTGGGGACTGGCTTCTGTGGGTGCCGGTGGGCGGTTCCCACGGACGGCAGCTGTTCCTGAATTAACGGGAACGAGGAGGGAGGGAGGGAGGATTTGGGGAGACTGGACCCCAGGGGGGCCTCTTTGCTGCTGCCCCCCCGCCCCCCGCTGCAAGTCTCCCCTCCCTGTTCCCTCCTCCGTTGTGAACTCTGGAGCACCCAGCGGTGGGCCCGGGGGTGTGGCCCGCGAACGGGCAGGCCGGGCTGCAGATGCCAAGTCCTGGGAAAAGGAAAGAAGTTTCTAGGAGACAAAGGCGAGCCATCGGCAGGATGAATGCGAAAGCTCGAGACCAGCCTCTCTTTTCTCGTGTAGAATCCCCCGCGGGGTCCTGAAAAACTTGTTCTCAGTATTTATTAGGAACAGGGGACCCGTGTCCCTGAAAGCCTGCACCCTTCGCCCCCCCCCCCCACGACATACGCAGCAGGTGCCCCGAGGCTGTGCGTCCCTCCCCCGACTTGGGGCTACGACCAGGCTGTGGAGTATGCTCTGCTCTCCAGCCAGAGGACAAGCCGGGTCCCAGAGGCAAGCCCAGGGCTGTGGCCGGCCGGCGTGCGAGCAGGTGACCCCGGGGCCACAGCGTGCCTGGTGGTCAGAATGACAACAGCAGGGTCACCCTCTTTACGTGCATTAACTCGCTCGCTCCTCCCGAGCACAAACCAGGAAACGTCGGGCCAGAGGGGCAGGGATGGGGGGGGGGAACCCACTTCAAAGGTTGTTCATCGAAAGACTGGATCAGGGGCGCCTGGGTGGCGCAGTCGGTTAAGCGTCCGACTTCAGCCAGGTCACGATCTCGCAGTCCGTGAGTTCGAGCCCCGCGTCGGGCGGCAGGGGAGCGGCCCCTCTCCAGTGCCCACGGCCTCACCCCCCAGCCTGTGCACGCGTGGCCTTCCACCCCAATGGGGGCTCTGCAAGAGTGATCCTGGGGGCACGGGGGCCCGGCTGGTCATGGGGTCCTGGTAAGGGGGACGCAGGGGACTCGGAGGAGGAAATGTGACTACAGGGACTGCGGTGACAAGGGGCAAGGAGCCACGGCCCGCAGGCCCGGAGCAGCTGGAGGCAGAAGGAACAGGGTCCCGTCCCCGAGCCTCCAGGAGGAACACCACGCGCCCACACCCCAATTTTAGTCCCTCGAGGTCCATTTCAGACTCCCGACCTCCAGAACCCAGAGACACACATGCGACGTCTGAGCCTGCGCGTCTTTGACGGGCGATGCCTCGATCACAGGGACACCCGGTGACCTGAGCGCAGCACTGCCCTGACAGCAGGTGCACGAGAGCCCCCCCAGAAGGCAGCTGAGGGGACAAAGCCTTGACCTCACTGTCCCCAGCGCCCGACCCGCTGGCGGGCTTCCACGGGAAGAGGGAGCCACTGAGGAAGCACCCGGACAGCTTCCGGGAGAACAGAGTGTAGCGAAGACGCGGCAGAAGGGCCACACGGAGATGCCGCTCATGTCCCGTGCAGGGTTCGGGGCCACGCTCGAGTTCTGCGGAGGAGCAGGGACCTTCCTTCCAGCTGGAACACGAGTGGACAGTCCCAGGAGGACCGTCACGGCCCCGGGCACAGAGGGGGACGTACGTCCTTCCAGCGTCCTGTCTCCCCTCCCACCCCAGCCTGGCCACCCCTCGCTCGCCTTCAAGGACGGGATTCTGCTGGATGAGAGAAGGGCGCCCCGCGTCACACGGGGACGTCCTCGGGCCGTGCCCCTGGCAACGGACGCTCACAGGCCAACGTAGCTGGAACGCGGGGCCAGCACTAGCCGATACGGCGACTGAGCAAATTAGGACGAGGTGCCCCTTCCTCCAGACATTTTCCCGCCACCTCCTGGGAACTTGCAATAACCACATACCTACGATGACCGTGAGACAAACAGGGGCCCCTGGGTTGTGCAGTGCCCAACGCGCACAACTGTAAGTGGCAGCCCGGGAGGCTTTCGTGGAGCCCCATCACACCCCGAACGCTGGCGGTGATAGGTGCTCTCCTTTGCTCTGTTTGTCTGCCTCCCGGACCCTGCCCGACGATCTCGCACGCCTGCCGGCAAAGACCACCAGGAGCACGAACGCGGCCAGCTTACGCGCTAACCCAGGAGCGAGCACAGAAGAGACTCCCCCGTCGCATCACGTTCACACGCAGCTCGACGAGTCACACTGAATTGTGAACAGTGTGCAGGGTCGGAGTGGCACGGGGGCACGGTCCGCCACCACCCACACCCCGACACGCGCCCCTCGGGACGCGCTGGGAGCACCACATGCCCCGGAGACGGCGTGAGGCACGGAACGCAGAGCACCTCGTTTGGGACGAGCCGGTAAGGCTGCTGACGCACGGGGTCAAGGTTAACGCACCTATTTTTTTGCCTTTTTAACGTAACTTCCCGGAAACCGGACCTCACAGCTGCCGCCTGGACCGCGATGCCCTCCCCGCCTGGGCCCCCATGGGACGCGGTGCCCGGCTGTGGGCTCAGGGCCGCTCGACATCAGACCTCAGGGGCCACGGGACACTGTCCCCCTAGCTCTTCCCCGGGGGAGGGCTTGGTGGGGACGCGGGGTCAACTGGCTATGAGGACACACGGTGTCCCGGCCGAGAGACAGATCTCAAACATGCTCTTCCCCCTTATCTGCCTTCCCCCTCCTTCCCCCCTTCCTCCCTCCTCCCTTCCCTCCCTCCCTCCCATACATCACACTCACGTGTAGACTGTCCCGGGAGGAGTGTTGTACAAAAAGTCCCAGCCCGGAAACATGGAAACCTTGAACACTAATCCTGAGGCTGTCCCAGAACTGCAGTGGGGTCTGGAATGTTACTGCCCTTCTCCGAGCCTCAGTTTCCCCATCTGTACAGGGGGGTGCCTGGTGGCATTCGGACGCTGCAGCTCTAAGCCCTCCCTTCCCTGCGCCCTGCCCGCGGGACCTGCTGGCGACCCGTGAGAGTCAGAGAGTCAGGGCAGGTCGGGGCTCCTGGGGAAGCAAAGCTTTCTCAGGGATCCCAGCCAGTCCCAGCTCCGGCCCCGGGGACCCCAACCTGCTTGATCTCTGCTGCCCCCTGCTGGCCACTCGGAAGCAGCTTCCAGCTCGGTCCCTTGGAAAGGTTGGAAGGGGCGACATCCCAGGACCCTCCTGCGCCCACCTGCCCAGACCTGGCCCAGAGCACCTCCCGGAGGCTGTGTCAGGGCCACAGGAAGCCAGCGCCGGGGCCAGAGGCCTGGACAGGGTGGCGGCGCACGTCGGGGCCCTGGTCAGCTCTCCCCACCCCTGCACCAGCCAGATAGGGTGAGAGGCACCTGGGTCCTGAAAAAGAACCTGTGGTCCCGTCCTTGGCCTTTGGAGGGGGTGAGTCTATTCTGTGTCTGGATCTGGCACACACAGGGGGAGGGGGCGGGGAGGAGGGGGAGTGTGCCCAGCAGGGCAGAAATCACCAGGGAGGGGTGCGGCCGGTGGGGGGGGGGGGAGGCTCCGACCACCCGAGAAAGGCAGGTGGCAGGCAGAGGGGAGGGCTGACCAAGAAAGGCCTGAACCAAAATGTGGCCGATCCCCACCCCCTGGGTGGCTGGCGGGTCTCCAGGGAGGGAGGGTCTCCAGCCTCACGGGTTCCACACGGTCTCCAGCATTGGGGGGGGGGGGGGGGGGGCCCGCCTTCCACCCAACCCCCCCCCCCCCCCTCCGCCTCTCTTTTCTCGGGGGCTTGCAAAGTCCTAGGGCATCAGGAGGGGGCATGGTGGCAGGGGACCAGGGTCGTGGGACACATTCTGGCCTCGGCACAGACGGGGTGAGACCCTCACGGACCCCAGGGAAGAGGGCGGCGGAGGGAGGGCCGCACACTGAAAACGGAAGGACCCTGGGGGCCGGGCGTCTCCGGCCATAGGTCCTGGTCCTCAATTAATTCCCTCGCCAGGCTCCCCATCTGCTTTGCAGCCTCCGGTGGTCCCACCCAGGGCAGTGGGAGGCCGGTGACCGTCCCGCTCCAGCCCACGGTGTCCCCTCGCCCGACCCGCTCCCCTCTGCTTCGCGCACATATACCTGGACGGCCCTCAGCCACGAGCCTGAACCCACCGAACGCTAACCCCCTTTCCTTGCCACAAGTGACCTCCTTCTGTGGCCCCTGGGGGCCGTGAATTTGGAAGCACAGAAAAAGAACCACGATCAGAGCACCGCACGGGGGCCTTTGGGGAAACTTACACCGTTTATTGGTTTTCTCATTTTAAAGTCAGCCTGTGGACAAAGCACAGAAACTTGGTTTTGGCTACAGAAGGAGCACAGGTGTTAACAGTGGGGACAGAGCAGAAGCAAAGGTCCAGTGGTCACCCCGCACAGAAGGGAGTGGTGGGGACTCCAGAGAGAATTCTAGAGGAAGCAACAAAAATAACCAGGGGAGGTCGGGTGGCATTGAAGGCTGTGGGAGACAGGGGAGGCCAGGGAAGTGGGGGAGGCTGGGGAGTCAGTGGAGGAGGGGGGGAGGAGGGGGGCAGGAGGAGGCTGGGGGAGGCCGGAGAGTCAGTGGAGGAGGGGGTCGGGGAGGCCGGGGAGGCCCGGGAGGCTGGGGGAGGCCGGAGGAGGCTGAGGGAGGCCAGACGTCAGTGGAGGAGGGGGGCAGGAGGAGGCCAAGGGAGGCCAGAGGAGTCTGAAGAGTCAGGGGAGGACGCGGCCGGGGCCGGCCGGGGGAGGCCGGAGGAGGCCGGGGAGGCCCGGAGGCCCGCTCCCTGCCCTAGCCCAACATGTTTCGGCAGCGCAGCCGTTCCTCCTCCCTCTTCTCCTCCAGGCGGCTCTCCAAGAGCCTCAGCTCCCTGCGCACCGCCTTCTGCATGGACGGCTCCAGCTCCAGCACCTTCTGAAGGTCCGCCCTGGCCTCCGCCTCGTTCCACACCTCCGCGTGGGCCCGGGCCCGCACGTAGTAGGCCTTCACGATGCCTGAGGGGAGGATCGGGCCGCCCCGGCCGCCGGGGCCTCAGAGGCCGGCCCCGCGAGGCCGAGCCTCGCCCGCCCTGAGCCCGGATCACGAGCCGTGCCCTCCGTGTCCGCCCGAGCCGCCGCCTCGGTTTCCCCCCCCAGCCCGCGGGCCTCGGGGGGGGGGGGCGGGGGGGGGGGCCTCTCCCTGCCCCCCCCGCCCCCCTCCCCCTGCGGCCGGCGCTTACTCTGGGCGCCAAGTGAGGCGAGGCGAGCGCCCGGCCCGGCGCGCAGTAGGACCGCGAGGCTTCTCCTGACAAGCACCTGCTAGGGGCCGGGCCCCAGAGTCGCGGGCTCGCGAGCCGCCGGGTCGCCCGACCGAGGACGCATCGCACGGCGCGGGACCCCTCCCGCCGCGGCCCCGCCCCCCGCGCACGCGCACGCGCACCTGGGTGGTGGCGCAGGATGTCGCTGGTGTGCTCCAGCACCTCGTAGTACTCCTCCTTCTTCAGCAGACACTGGCAGTAGTTGAGGATCAGGGTGTTGATCAGCTTCTCCAGCTTCAGCCACTGCACCTCCCAGGGCTTCTCCTGCCCGGGGAGCGCATGCGCCGTGAGCTCGGGCCGCCGCCTGCCCCCCCCCCCCCCGCCGCCCCCCCCCCCCGCGGCCTGGCCCCTCCCCCCCCCCGCTCCCAGCCGCCTGCCCCCTCCTCCCAGCCGCCTGCCCCCTCCCCCCGGCCGCCTCCGCCCGCCCGCCGCCTCCCACCTTGGTCTGCAGGTTCCGCAGGCACACGATGGCCTCCTGGTACTTGGTGGAGGCCTCCTCGTATCGGCCCAGCTTGAAGAGCCGGTTCCCTTCCCCGTGGAGGACGGGCACCGCCTGCAGCTTCTCCTCGTTACTCAGGCTCCACGTCTCCCGCCGGTACTCGCTCGGGGCCTCGACCTGGCCCCAGAGCGGCAGGCCGGTGAGGCGGGGACCGGGGTGCCTGCGTCCCCGCGGCTGGGGAACCCCCTCGGCGTATTCCACGGGGAGGGTGGGCCGGCCGGCAGAACCGTGCTCGCCAGCCACAGCCACAGCCACGTACACGGGGGGCCTAAATCAGATCCTCTGTGCGAATCAGGGAAGGACCGCCCTTTGTCAACACACCTGACTTCAGTCTTCAGAAGATCGTCAGGATACTCATTTGGCAGAACTACAGGCTTTATTGCCATCTGCCGGGTAATCGTCATTCTAAAGGTTCCCACATACGGTGTCGGTGGCGAGCACCTTGGAGGTGATGCCCTTGTGCAGTGGAGAAACCGCACAACTGTCCTAGCAGGCCCACAAAGACCCTCCGCCGACACGATTCTCTTATTTATTTGTTCATCCACGTAGCCCTCGGGCTGAATCTCACCCTGGGCCATGAGCTGGGTCCCGACCCGGGCTTGACCCTCTCCCGCCACCCCACAAACACGAGCTATCAGTCACTCTGGGGTCTGGGTGAGAAGGCGTGGGCAGTTCTGTTCAGCCTCTCCCACTGCTGGAGGACCAGGTCTGAATCCAGGACCCCCGGGACTAATTGGAAACCACTGGAAACAAAAGCACAGCCCAGAACCAGGAGAAGTAAATGCCTCCGAAGTGAACACCAGTAACTCCCGAGAGAGCTGGTCTCAGATGGGCTTTTGGTACTTTTGGGGGTCAGATTCCACTTTTGCTGTGGTTTATGAACTCTCTTGTGCTCTAAAGAGAAAGCAGGTGACGCCCAGGGACCAGTGAGGTCAGGCTCCCTGCGGGCCCACTCCCCCGGGCACAGCTGCCCTGTGTGCTTCCTTCCCCCCGGCCCCTTGCCCCCTGCCCCTGGCATCCCTGCCCTGCTCCCCCTTCCCTGCCCCATGCACCTGCCCCCCTGCCCCTCTCCCGACCCCCGCGCACCCCCCTCCCCCCCATACCTGCCCCTCCCCCACCCCTGGGCGCACCTGCTCCCCCCGCCCCTCCCCCTGCCCGGGGCGCACCTGCAGCAGCTCTATCACAAAGATCAAAGGCTGTGGCTCTTTCTGCAGCTCGTCCAGGTCCTCGTAGCCCAGCGTGTGGTAGGCAAACATGTTGGCCAGCCCGCACGTGTGCACGTGCCACTCTGTGGGGTCCTTGCCCTCCGCCACCTGCCGCAGGCTCCGGGACAGGATGGGGTAGACCCCTGTGTGCTGTGGGGAGAGACCACGGTGGCTTCCGGCCCCAGAGAGCCCACCTCTGGGTCCGGCCACAGCCGCCATCCCTGCCCGTGGCTGGTAGCACGCGTTGTCCCCAGCACGCCCCGCCAATGACTGGGGTTCACTGTGTCCCGGGCAAAGTGTTCACCAGCTCCTTCTGTTAGCCGCTTCGGTCCTTACATGACCCGGTGAGGGAGGCACGGCTATTATCCCCACTCTGTAGATGAGGAGACTGCAGCCCAGAGAGGTTAAGTAACTTGCTTAAGTCACACAGCTAGGAAATGACAGAGCCGGGATTCAAACCCGGCCCCAGAGGACACACTCTCGCCACAGTGCCATGCTGCCTCTTGCTGGCCCTTGTGCTCAGCGCTGACGCATTTCTCTCCCGAGGAGACCTGAGCCCCTGAGTCCGTGACCCGCGGGGAGGGAGATGTGGAGGGTAGGGGAAGGAGCAGGCCCCGGTGGCCGAGAGGGCCACACTGATTCGCAGAGAGCCTGGGCACCACACCCGCCATAGGGGAGGTGTCGTGGGTTGCAGGGGGTGGGTACAGATCCCAGCTCATCCCAGCCCCTCCCTGCGCTGGGCACCGGGCTCGCCCTTCTGGGGGTGGAGGAGGCCTGGGGACATCAGCCCCTGGGGCCTCAGCTTCCCAGCTGTGAGCCCCTCTGCTTGGACCCGGTTCTGACACGGCCCGTCTCCGGCTCTCTCAGGGCAGCTCCGGGAAAGACCCGGTGTCGGAGACTCCAGGGGCAGAAACAGCTCAGCTTGTCCTCCAAGTCACCAGCGTGGGGGTGAGTGGGGGTGACGGTCAGCGCTCCCCGCCCCCAGGAGCCAGGATTAACCCAGAATGCCCGAGGCTCCTTTGTGAGGGAGGTGACCAGATGGCAGTTAATCCCATGGGGATCAAGGCTGAACTAAAGCCAGGAGAGGCCCCAGGAGCAGCCGGCTGGGGGAGGGCCCATCCTGGCCCGGCAGGCGGCCCCCGGCTCACACGCCCTTCGTCCCACGAGTCCACGGAGCCACCGGCACCCTGGAGCCAGCAGACCCTCTGGGCAGCACGGTGGGGCTGGGGGTGCCGCCAGGAGCCAGGAGAAATCCGGGAAGGATGGAGTCCCCGTCTGTGCCCGTCTTGTGAGGCCAGCTTGCCTGGCTGGGGACCGGCAGGACAGCTAGAGACACACGCGGGGCCCTCTGTGGGGCTCCAGCCCCGGGGACTGGGACCCAGGCGGCGACGGAGGCAGGGGGCCCCAGGACCCCTGCCGGTCTCTAAGGCTTCAAGGCCCGGGGCGGGTTCTTTCTGAGGGGCTGTGTCTATACTGGAGGCTGCAGACCGGTGGGCCCGAGGCCATATTCAGCTACCAGATGGGTTTCGTCTTAACCCGAGCCTTGTGGAGTTTTTACCAATTGGTTCCTGACATGCAAGTATTGAGGGAGTCCGCACGCTAATGAAGATTTCTGGCTCATCTTAAAAACTCAGAACATGCAGCCACGCGGCAACCAAGGGGGGCGGTGGCTGAGGACAGGCTGCCCCCGTCGATCGGCCAGAGCACCCGGCCCCTGGTGGAATCGGAGTTCGCAGCCCTTGGCCTCACACCCCACGCTACTGGGCACCAGCACGAAACCCCACCTCGAGACCAGCGTCCTGCCCACGGTGGGGGTGAGGCGGGGAGGAGAGCTCTCAGGGCAGAGGCCCCCAGCTCCTCACTGACCCTGCCTCCCCTGAGTAGGGGGAGGTGAGGGAGGGAGGAGGCCCCCCGCTCTTCAAAGCGAGACCTGATGAGGGCTGTCCAGGAGGAGGGCTCTGCGGGGAGTGAGGGGCAGAGCCAGGCCCTCCTAAGTCCTCTGGCAAACACACATGATGATCCCACCGATCGCTGAGTTTTTCCAAAACTCAGATTCTTTTTTTAATGTTTATTTATTTTTGAGGGGGTGGGGGCAGAGGGAGAGGGAGACACAGAGTCCGAAGCAGGCTCCAGGCTCCGAGCCGTCAGCACAGAGCCCGATGCGGGGCTGGAAGCCACAGACCGTGAGATCATGACCTCATCTGAAGTCGGGTGCTTAACCGACTGAGCCACCAGTGCCCCCCAAAACTCAGAGAGATGGCCCCCAGGGAAGGGGCTAGGTAAATTAGCCTTGCCAAACCTTTGCACACTTCCTGGCCCAGATGCCACCTCTCTCCCCACATGTAGACCTGGTGAACTCCTATTCATCCTTCAATACCCGATTCAATGTCGTCTTGAAAAAGTTTCCCCCAAGATCCTAAAGCAGCTAGTTGCCCGTCATCTGTGGCCCCAAGGCACTGTGCCCTCACCGACTCCCATCAGGGCACTGGCCGCCCTCGGTCGTAACTGCTCAAGTCTCTGCTCCTCCTCCAGACTGAGAGACAGAACTTTGTTCCACCCCTAACACACGGCACAGCCCAAACCTGGTGCCCAGCGAATGTTCCCAGATAGATAAGCAGACAGACAGACCGACCCATGAAGGGTGGATGCTTGATGCCTGGGTGCGGCGACGGAGAAGAGGGAAACGTCATTAGAGAAACCACCGTGGCACGTGCGTACGTGCGTGCGCAATCACGGCGGCCGTGGGCCGGGAGGAGGCATGGCAGGCTGTCCCCGGGGCATCGAAGTCGCCAGCCTGCGAGACGCGCACACAGACCGCCCAGGACACGCAGACCCGTGCCCGCGTTGGGGGGGGGGGGGTAGCAGCAGCTCGGGGTTCTGCGCACAACAAATCAATCGGCCAGTCGAGGGTTCGTTGGCGACGTGAGCGAGCGTGCGCCCTGCGGAGCACGACCCCGCTGGCGGCCTAGGTTCGTCCCACGCGCCCCCCGCCCCGTGACAGGTGCGCGTGCCGGAGACCCTCACCATAAACTAACGGAAGCCACAAAGGAGCCGATTTCCTGAAGACCTGGCTCGTTGAAGACACATCTTTACACTCTTTCTACACATTAGGAAGAGGCACAACACAGACGCTGGTAGGCAGAGGAGACACGCCCACCTGGCACCTGGCACCTGGCACCTGGCACCTGGCGGGGGAACCGTCGGGCGGGCGCCCCTAGCGGTAGACCCCCGGCATTGCAGCCCCTGGCGGTCACTGGGGGCCGGGGTCCAGCCTTCCGTCCGGATAAGCGGTGGGGGAACCAGGGGTCCCACCTCCACCCTGTCCCTTTACTTGTCTGACCCAGCCCAAGTCGCTCTTCTCTGCCTCTTCTGCTTCGTCTAAAACAGGGGAGTTCGGGGCGCCTGGGGGGCTCAGTCGGTTAAGCGTCCGACTTCAGCTCGGGTCAGGATCCCGCGGTCTGTGAGTTCGAGCCCAGCGTCGGACTCTGTGCGGACAGCTCGGAGCCTGGAGCTGCTTCGGATTCTGTGTCTCCCTCTCTCTCTCTGCCCCTCCCCTGCTCACCCTGTCTCTCTCTCTCTCTCTCTCTCTCATATAAATACACATTAAAAAATATTTTAAATAAATAAATAAGATGTTTAAGTTAAAAAATAAATACATAAAAGTTCGTCTCCGAAATTCTTCCAGCACTTTTCAGTTGCCCCGAACTATGCTTTGCCCTCGTAAGCACCACATCACGTCTTCCCCACAACAGCCCCTTAGCCTAGGGTTTCGGTTGTCTACGGATGAACAAGACAGCCAGAGGGAGGAAGGACTTCCCCCAGGGTCACACAGCCCCCGAACTACCCCCGGTGAGGGCTTGAATCTGATCGGCCGCCATCAGCAGCCGCTGCGTCCATCGGGGGAGAGCCCAGGGGAGCAGGTGCTGGCTGGACCAGGCTCTCAGCGTCTGCACCCATCGGCCAATCACAAGACAGGTACCACCCAGTGAGAGGGAGAAGCAGGTGTGGCGCACGACGTCTGGAAACTACGGGGACAGAGGGACGCGGTAGACGATCCACGGCAGGGGTCTGGTCCCTCCAACGAATCTATGCCAAGGGGACAAAGAGGGGAGACGACCCAAAAAGAGACCCAAGACGCGTATCCACAGGGCCTGTGCATGGACGTTGTTTGGGCCCAGCTTGGAACAGCCATAGAGAGTGGCGGGCACAGGACCAAGGAGCGACCGGCATTAAGGAAATAGCAGGGTTTCAAAAGGATGTAACGATGACACCGAGGTTATGTTATTTTAGTATCTTTTTTACAGATGCAAGATCTAGGATTTGTGGGTGAAACGATCCGGTGTCTGGAAGGTGCTGTAACCACGCGGGTGAGGGAGAGAGGCAGAAGGATGGGGCTGGAAGCCGCGCTCGGGTCGATGGTGGCTGGCGTGGGGGATGGGCACTTGGGACCTCACCGCACTTTCTGTTGGCTTTCGTATATGTTTGAAAGTTTCCCTAAGAAATGTTTGTTGGTGTTGTATGGAAGCCAATTTGACAATAAATTTCATATATTAAAAAAAGAAAAGAAAAGAAAAGAAATGTTTGTTGGGGGGCGCCTGGGTGGCTCAGCCGGTTAAGCCTCCGACTTCAGCTCAGGTCACGACCTCGCGGTTCACGAGTTCGAGCCCCGAGTCGGGCTCTGTGCTGACAGCTCAGAGCCTGGAGCCCGTTTCAGATTCTGTGTCTCCCTCTCTCTCTGCCCCTCCCCCACTCGTGCTCTGTCTCTCTCTCTCTCTCAAGAATAAACATTTAAAAAGATTTTTTAAATGGAAATAATTTTACAAGGCTCACAGGAGTGGGGAGGGGGCAGAAAAGTGACCCGTGGCCAAAAGTCCCCAGGATCCAACAGTGGTGTGTGGGGCATGGGTGGCCCTGGTCCCACATCCCGCCAGCCAGCCGCCACGCTGACTGTCGCTCTGGGGCTTGCTCCTGGGGGTGACTCTCCACCTGCACGGAGGAAGGCCACCCAGGGTTTTGTCTCAGCCCCGCTCCGCTCCGCGGCCCGGCAGGAGCCCCGGCGGGCGCGCCTACTTACGATGGAGTCGCACCAGAACTCGGCCACCTCGCCGATGCGCATGGACGTCAGGAGCACCTCCCAGACCTCCAGCTTGAACATGTTCCCGATGATAATGTGCATGGGGTGGCCCACGCGCTTGCTGTCGTCTATCACCGTCCGCTCGTCGTCACATTTCGTGGTGCGGAAGTGGAAGATCACCTGGTGGCCGAGACAGGGACCCCGGGTCTAGACGCACCTCCACGGCGCCTGCGGAAGCCCCCCCACCGGCACTCTCGGGGGGGGGGTCCCCGGGACTCAGCTCCCGCAGCCCAGCCAGAGCTCCCCCCACCCAGGGGCTGGGAGCCCACTCCCTCTCCCGCAGCCCAGCCAGAGCTCCCCCCGGGGGGGCCGGGAGCCCACTCCCTCGCAAAGGGCCCCGTCCCACCCTCTGGCAGCCTGCGGGTCAGGAGCCCCTCGCTTACGTCAGCCCTGGATCTGCGGCCACAGACCCCGGGAAGCCCCCCAGAGATTTGTGGACAAAACGACGACCGCCGAGGGCCCCTCCTTTTAACTCGACTTTTGGGGCTCCAGGAAATTCCCAAAGCCCTTCCCCTGCCCCACGCCAGAGTTTAATTTTCCAGCGTCAAAAGTGTCCCGCGAATGGGCACCAATCCAGAGGTCCCCAGGTGCTCAGGGGTCGACAGTCCAGGGACGACGTGTCCGGCCGGGTTCTGACAAAGCCGGACGTGGTTTCAGTGCGAAGGCTGCCGTGGGGGCCCCCTATCTGGTGTGGGGGGCGGGACCCACTCACCCGGGACCCGGTGATGAAGTTGGGGAGATCCCCTGTGCCTCCGTGCAGGATGGTTTTCCTGACCCCTTCCACATTCAGGAGCAGAGTGGCGTCCATGGCTGCGGGTGAGGGAGGTGTGGGCTCAGGCACAGATTATCTCCCCGGACGAAGGGCTTGGGTGGCGGAGACCTGGGGATTGGCCCGCAGGGGTGTGGGTGAGGAGTAGGTCGGTGGTGCCTCATCCCTGCTCCTCACAGCGATGTGGGGGCCCCCGAGCCCCCACCGTTGGTTTCCTCCCACCCCAATGAGGGGTTTTAGGGGAGTGATGGTGGGGGGGTTCAGAGCTGACGGCCAAGAAGGGAATCTCGAAGACGTCTTTGGTGCAAAAGAGGTGATTTTGTTTAAGCACGGGGACAGGACCCATGGGCAGGAAGAGCTACACTGGGTCGTGACGGGTAACTGGTTATATATTCTCAGGTTGGGAGGGGGTCAGGGACGGTGTAAGTCTCTAAGGAATTTTGGAAGCAAGGTTTCCAGGACCTTGAGGGGCTGCTGTTAGCAAAACATCATTTATTACCGTCTAGTAAGACCCCAGTCACGAGACCCCTCAGATGTATATCGGGGGCCATAAGCCTGGAGGAGGATGGCCAGCATATACTTGGGGGTTAAAGATAAAGGAGGTTTGCAAAGGAATTTTCATGTTAAGTAGACTCACAGGATCCTGGGGTGTCAGGACAATGTTGAGCCAAGATTCCCTTTTGCCCCCAGCAAAGTGTCATCATCCAGGCAGCTGAGCTCCTGAAGGGAGGTCACTCTGTGGGTTACAAGGACTTGTCAGTGGCTGTAGGCAGTAAGGCAGTTTAGTTTCTCATCTGCCTTAGTTTCCAGCATCCCCATGGCAGCGCTTAAACCCCTTTCCTCTGTTCTTGGGGAGCCAGGAGTGTGCAAGGATTATCACACATACTCCACGGGGGGGGGGGGGGGTTACTCCGCCGGCGGGGGCGGGGCTAGCTTGTACTTCGCCCCCAGCTCACCCCACGCTCCCGCCCCCTTGTCACCAAGAAGGAAGAAAGCCGGCTGGAGCTTTCCCACCAAAGGGGAAGAGGAGGGGAGACCTGAGCCTAGGGCTCCTCGGTCCCTGCCTGCCTTCCCTTGCCTATTTCCTCCTTCCCTCCCCCCATACTCTGCACACCGGAGGATGCGACACTGGGGGGGGGGGGAGGAGAGAGAAGCAGCCGTCTGGCCTGGGGGGCTCTGGAACGGGGTGAGAGAAGGGTGCAGGTTTGGGCAAAGAGCCTCTCTCAGCCCCACTTCAGCCTCCCCTACAAAGTCTGGCTGTGGGGAGCGGGGCTCTCCTCTCCCCTTTGGAGGGCCTCATCCCTGCGCCTGGGACCCAGGTGGAGCTCAGTCCCTGCATCTGGGATCGCCTTCTGGTCTAAAGGGACAGGGGGCCTGAAAGCTTGGCACTTGGCGCCACCTGGTGGCCAGTCAGAGCTCCTGCGCCCCGGCTCCCAGGTCCTTCCCGTCGGAGACCCCAGACTGACTTGTTTAGGGAGGGAAGCAGGGACCTGATGAGAACACTGGGTTAAGAGGAGCCCCGTGGAGCTGCGTTCAAAGGGCCGGCCCCGCCTCTGATTCCTGACCTTGTGGCCTTGGGGGTCTGCCATGCTTCCCAACTCCATTCATTTTCCAGACTGAAATGGGAAAAGCCACCTCTCCCACCTTCCTCCCCAGGAAGTTGAGAAATCTCCCTGGAGCAGTAGGTGGGACCCCACACCCAGCGCCCTGAAAGTCTCCCGTGAAGAGCCATTGGCACAGAGGGGGGCTGAGCCTGAGCCCCCAAACCCAGACGGGGGCGGCTGGATCAGACCTCTCCGGGACCCCTCCCTGGGTGCTCAGTCCTCCAAGGGCCCAGACCCATCCTTCTCTGGGGGGTGGGGGTGGGGTGAGGGTGCAGGGGTCCTTCCCCTCTGTTCCATCCTGCTCTAGCCACACAACAGCCCGGAGGGGTCTGCGTGCACGGGGAGCAAGATGTATACTAGGTGCTATGACTACCACGAAGAAAAGTAACATCGATTCCCGGAAAAGTCCAGAGAGGGGGAGGGGGGCCGCACCGGGTGAGGTGGGGGCCGCGCTTCCGGGGTCCTGGCATGCTGTTTCTTCCTCCCGACGGCTACGTGGGTGTTTGCATTCTAAGTACTTGTGATACTAGACTTCATGTCCGGCACTTTCCTGCCAGTGATAAGAAACGGGTCCCCTCACGTCCCACTGACGACGGCTCCGGGTGTGGAGGGTAGAAGTCACTGCTGGCTGGGGCGGAGCTGAGAGATTTGGCCCCTTGTGGGCAGGGACGGGGGTGAGGGAGGTTGATGAGGCTGATGCCCAAGATCAATCAAGCCGGGAGGGGCTCAGGCCACGGCTTCCAGACGGGGCCCCCCAGCCACTCCTTGTCCCCCAAACTAACCTCCTAATGGACTTCATTTACAGGCAACTCTAACCCCACCCCCTCTGAAAATCCAGCAGCGGCTTTCCGCTGCCCTCCGGAGGCGCCCCAACCTCCTAGGCTGCATGGTGGGGCGGCCCCTGCCTCCGGCCACTATAGGGAGGGGTGGCGGGGGGGGGAGAGGGCACCCTCTGGAGTCACCCTGGCCTCCTCTGTCCCGTTCTCTGGCCTCCCAACACCAGCCTTCGCGGACCCCTCTGTGGGAACGCCGCATCCCCGCACTCTGTCGTCTCCTGGTTCCTTAGCGAAAGCACCACCTGCCCCCAGCTCATGTGGGGCGCCCTGTCCCCCACCGCCGCAGGTCACATTCCTGGGAGTTTGCACTGGCCATTCCATAGGCCAAGAAAGCGGGTAGAATTTCTGCTGTCGGAAGGGGAAGCCGCCAGGACAGGGGAGCCCCCAGGACGGGGGAGCCCCCACGACGGGACAGGCTGGAGCTCCCCCTCAGCAACCACCCTCCTCCCCAACAGAGGCCAGGGTGGGGCTGGACCCCACAAAGCCTCCGCCTGGGACAACTGACAGCGTTCTCTCCTTACAGGGAGGAGCAGGGACCCCTGTCCCCGCCACCCCTGCACCAGGAGCCTGCTCCCCTCAGCACATCCTCCCCCTCCCACCCCCTCTCCCCACCAACCCCCTGCAAGGCAAGAGGGAGCCTCCTCATTCAGAAGAAAACGTTTCTTCCTCCTTCCCTCGTCGCCATGGCGACTGCACTCCAGCACCCGGGCTGCCGGAAGCTGTTCCGAGCCCCCGAGGGCAGGGAAGGGGAGGGTGGGCTGGGCGGTGACCCATGCTCTCCGGAGCCTCCGGGAGGTCACGTGTCCCAGGGTTAAGCATTCAGGCTTTAAAGCCAGACATCCAAGGGCTTCGGTTCCAGCGCCGACTGTCCCTCTGTCCCCAGCAGACACTTCACCCTTGTGGGTCTGTGTCGTCTGTAACGAGGACGGAAATAGCCCCGACTTCAGACTGGAGGGCTGAGGAAGGAAGGGTGAAGACAGGAAATGTGCCCGGCGTGCGAGCTAAGTGCTGGACCAGTGTGAGCTGTCCTCTGACGCCCGGGACACGCGAGGCACTGTCACCGGCTCGGACAGGTGTGACGAGAGCCGGTCTAGCCGGAGAGACTGTTTCTAGGTGTTTCTCCTGCACCAAGTCTCTCCCACACGTGTGGCGTAGTTTTCCTAAGAATCACCACGCTTGCTCCCCCCCGTGTTTCACCGGAAAAGGGCGTGAATTAAACGTCCTAAATATGACCAACACACACAACTGTCCTGAGCGGGCAATGATCCAGCTCGGGGAACCAGCGAAGGGGAGCAGAGCCCGGGGGCCCCGTCGCCAGCTGCCGGTGGCGTTCTTAAACGACAAAGTAGCAAATTAACAAATCAAAGCAGGTCACACAGAGCCCAGCATTGTTTCAGGAAACCAGTTTCGGTTGCACGTCTGTGTGTGTGAGCCCGGCGACCGACCGCGCGCGCTGGTCCCCACCCCTCCCCCCCCACACGCTCAAACATTCTTGGCTCCCTTAGCTCATCCTTCAGGCACGAGCTCTAAATGACACGATGTTGGTGTCATAATTTTCTTGGATTATTGATGATGCGGCTCATTGACGCCCGTCTCTCCCCACGCACTGGATCCGAGGGGGTGCTGGGTGCCTGGACCCGGGTCCCGGACAGTGGGAATCCCGCCACCTACTAACTGAGGGAACTGGGGCCCGACCCAACCTCTCCGGACAGCGGTTTCCCCATCTGCTAGGCTGCCATCGGGGCCCAGCGAGTTCATCATAAAAGGACTTAGCACAGCAGCACCTGGTGCGTGCAACCCCCCTAGCAGAGAGGAGTGGGTGGGGTCACCCAGCCGTGTCGCAGTGAAGGGCAGAGCCACAAGGAACCCACCGGCGGAGACCCCGCCAGAGAGGGGGGCCCGGTGAGGTCTGCAGCAAGGGACCCGAGAGGGGCGCGGGCCGGGCTGCCCTGGGGTCTCCAGAAAGTGGGAGAGGGCTTTCCAAAGGGCGAGGTTTGGATGCCCCACTGGAGACGGGAGGCGGCCTCGTCGCAGGAGGACCGGGAGGTGTACCCTGGTCTGTCCTCGCCCCCAGGATCTTCCAGGGTCCAGAGTGTGGGTGCCGAGCGTGGGGACACAGAGGCAGTGTCTGAAACCCGCGGCCGCGGGGCGCGGCCGAGCTCCCGGCCCCGCGCCTCCCGACCGAACCCGCTTGGCCGCGCGGCGGGGCGCAGACCGCGGAGACAAAGGGGCGGCGCCCGGCTGCGCCCGCCCGGCCGCGGCCCCAGCACGAATGGGGCGGCCAGCCAATCGGAGGGCGGCATTCCCGCCGCTAGAGCGCGGGCCAATCGGATCCCGGGCGCGGCAGCGCTGCGGGGACGCGGCCAATCAGCTGCGAGGGCCGGCCAGGGGGCGGACCCGCGCGGAGTTTCAAACCCGCCGGGTGGGCGCAGAGCGGCTGCTTGGGGCTGCGGCCTGCGCCGGGGGCTGCCGGGTGAGCGCGGTCCGGGGTCCGGGGCCCGGGGGCCCGGGGACCCTTGTGTTCCGACGGGACCTGGGCGGAGCGTGGGGGTGGGGCGAGTGTGCCAGTCAGGATGGGCACGCAAGTGGGGACGTCTGGGGACTGCGAGCTGCAAATCGGGGGGCTCTGGGCGACGGGAGAGGGCCCCGGATGGGGCCCTGGCCAGCCGAGGCTCGGCAAGGCCCCGTCCTGACCCTTGCTTCCCTCCCGCCTGAGGCAGAGAGCTGAGAGGGCTGGGTGGGAAGATGGACACGCAGCTGTTGCGGACAGTGGCCGCCAGGGCCCGCGGGAAGCGCTGACCCCTCCTCCGGGAAGCAGCTCCCTTCCCACACCCACCGCTGCCACGTGCCCCCACGCCCAGCCCGGGCGACCTGTGTCTCCGTGGAGCCTGGGAGGAGGAGAGGGGATGGCTTGCTGACCTGCTTTTGACCTCCTCCCCAGGATCTGGTGGGCTGAGCAGACTCCCGACCGGGCAGATGGCTTCTAAGTGGCCGGGCGTGGGGGTCTCCGTGCGTCGGGGGCCGCTCCAGGAGCGGGAACAGCTGGCAGAGGAGGCGGAGCAGACTACGGGCGGCCATCCGGAGCCCTCCAGCGGGGCCCTGGGCTCCCTGTGCAGACACTTCCAAAGGAGGCTGCCCCTGAGGGCAGTCAGCCGCAACCTCGGCGCGGGGCCCTCCTGGAAACGCCTGGAGAACCCAGAGCCAGCGCAGCAGGGCCTCCAGGCTGCGGCTCGCTCAGCGAAGAACGCCTTGGGCTCCGTGTCCCAGGTAATGCCGACCGGCCCTTAACCCAGGGCTTCCTCGGTGCCCGCAGCCGGTGCCTTCAAGGGGCCCCTGAGGAGGCCGACCCCATGAAGACGGGGACTTTGGTGTGTCCTCGCTGCGTCTCCTGCCCTCAACCAGCCGTGGGACGAACGGATGGGAAGGGCGTCCCGGAGGCCGAGCGGAGCCTCGCAGTATAAGATGCTAGAGCTGTGGTGTCACAGCGTGGCGAGCACGGGCGTCACGGGGACACAGCAAACACAGCAGGCTTGCAGGGGAGGCCACCCCGCGGAATCGCCCGGGAAGGGGGAAGGAAGTGGGAGGAGAGCGTAGGGCGAGATGGCGTGGGTCCAGATCCAGAGCGGAGGGAGCGTGGTCCGGGTGGCCAGAGGACGGGGAGCCAGGAGGGGAAGGGCAGGCGTGCCGCGTGCCGAGGGTGTCTGGTTAGACTCTCCCAAGAGCCACCGGGGGCCAGTGGGGAGGATTTTCAACCTGGTGGGAATCCAGTCCGAGGAGCATTTAAGAGCTCGTTCCCCAGCCACCTGGTGGAAAGGGGGTGAGAAGCATTCGCCACCGGGGGGGCCTGGGGGCCTGGCCCGGCAGAGGCCTGGACCTCGAGAGGTGCCCAGAAGGTAGGCGTGCGAGGATCTGTGTCAGACGACACGTGTGGGCACAAAGACGCCACGTGGGCAGGCGTGAGGCGCCTGGGGCCTTGCAGGTGAACGGGTCCTCCGACCCGAAAACGGGGGCAGGTGTCCCCCGGAAAGGACCAACGTCATGGCGAGCAAAAGCCTCCGAGGAGAGAAGGGGTGCGGGTACCTCCTTGGTGTCGGGCTGGGAATCTGAACCTGTTTACAGACCCTCTGCTCTGGGGTCTCTGAGCCAAAGGTCAGTCCCCGACTAGGAGTCCCGGGACCACCTCTGTCCCGAAGGGATCACAGAAACACAGGTGCGCCCGCGGCCACGTACCTCACCGAACGTAACTCGTCCCGGCCTCTGGCCTCTGGTTTGCCTGGGCCCACATTCTGGCCTCGAGGAGCCAGCACAGCCGCCCCGGCCAGTGGGAGGCGCCCAGGAGCTCGGGCCTGCCCCCCCACCCCCACCCCAGGCCGTGAGGAACCCAGAGGGGCTCTGAGCCGTCGAGTGTCGGGAGAGCTGCCCCTCGAATCCGCACCAGTGCGGAGGGCGACTTAGTGAGACCCGAGGCAGGTCCTGGGGGGCCTTCCAGGGGGCACCAGGGTCTTTCCGTGTCCCGAAGCGAGCGTGGACTCCACGAGCCGCTGGTTGGGCTGCTGACCGCCGCACCGGTGCCCTGGGTGGCCCTGAGCCGGCTCCCCGCAGCGGACTCGCTTCTCGGGGACCCACGCACCCCCCTCACCCCCGGGGCTCCGAGCCGTCTGTATTTGCGCGGCTGAGGGGTGGGAGGGGCCCGGAGACTCTGCAGGAGCTCGTCCTTGGCTTTGCGCTCACCTTCCGCGGTCCCGTCCCAGAGAATCCAGGAGTCCTGCCAGAGCAGGACCAAGTGGCTGGTGGGGAGCCAGGTGAAGGCCAGGAAGAGGAGGAGAGGGGCACAGACGGGCAGTCGTCCCCCCGCCCACACCCCGGGCCAGAAGAGCCCCCGGCTGCGTGGAGCCGCCCCAGCCTCCTCAGCCCTGGGCCCGCGGGAGAGACCCTGTCACCGACTCTCTGGGCACGTGGGCCCCCGCGCCCACCCACAGTGGCGGTCCCGGACGGAGCCCACCTTCCGGAGCCCCTACTCCTCAACGGAGCCCCTGTGCTCCCCCAGGTAAGAGGAGGGGTGCCTTGCCCCCAGATCACTAGCTGGGCCCCAGCGGCTTCTGACCCCCGCCTGGGGCTCCCCGGGGGCATCTGGGTCCTGACCCAACTCTCCCCGTGACGAGGGGGAACCGCAGGGCTCACCTGTGCAGCGTCCCCGGCCCTGGACCTGATGGGCCCTGGGCCACGTGTTCTGTGGCAGGTGCTCCAGGTCGCATGGGCTGTCACCTCCTGGAGGGCAGGGAGGGCCCAGACAAGGTGCTCCCGGCCCCCTCGGGGTGTCTCCGGGCCTGCGCGCACCCGGCCCAGCACCGGGCGGGAGGGCCTCGTGCTGCACATTTCCGCCAGTCGCTGCTGTGGCTTTCCTCTTTCAGTGAGTCTGACAGCGACCCGGAGCCTGTGGGAGCGGGACTTCAGCACCTCCAGAAGCTGTCCCGGCAGCTGGACGAGGCCATTGTGGCTGAAGACAGGTGAGCTGGCGGGTCATGCTTCAAAACGGGAGAGCTGAGGCGGGGGTCCCGTGCTCCTTGAGTCCGGCCAAGTTTTTACACCTCTCCGACTCGGGCCCTGACCTGTTGTGTGACCCCGGCCCGTCCCCGGCCCTCTCTGAGCCTCAGGCCGCTCACGTGCAACACGAGGGGGCAGAAAACATAGATCAGGATGGTGTCTGGAACGCATCCTGGATGTGAACGGCCCCCCGGGAGCCCCACCAGGCCAGGCACCTGGTTTCCGGAAGACCTGCCCTTCCCCCAGCATTCCCCATGGCTCCTCTGCGCCTGCCCGCCCGTGGGATTGGGAAAAGGCCCATGGCCACTCTGGAGCGTCTGGCCTGACTGCCCAGGACCCTCTGGAGGCGGGGCCTCGGTGTGCGGCCCCCCTAACTTGGGGCCTGTTCCCCATTCATACAAGGGCCCCCCGGATGGGCTCTGGGGCGGGGCCCAGCCAGCTCTGACTGCGGGGTGGTAGGGCTCCTCCTACAGGTGACACCAGTCCCTCCCGCCTTCCTGTCTCCAGCGGCGACATGACTATGACCGTTTCTCTCATCCGTGACTGAGGACAGCGCCTCCAGGTGACGCCCGCCTCCCAAGCCTTTTCTCCAGGTTCCTCTTCCTCCTCCTCCTCCTCCTCCTCCTCCTCCTCCTCACGAACGTGTGGAAGAACGTAGTCTTTTCTGGAAAATCCTGAAGAGCGGATGGGCCCAGCAGCGTAGGAAGCATGCAGGCCTAGCCCACCTGCCTAGAGCCAGCCAACCTCACTGACCGCGTCCCCAGCCAGGCACGCCGGGCCGTCGGCGAGCCCCCTTCCATCCCCTCGTTCTGGGGAACCTGCCCCCGCTCTGAGCCCAGCCAGGGGCACGAAGGGGGCTCCGCACTGCAGGAGGCAAGCCACGGCGGACACCACGACCTCACAGCGGGACCCACGCGGCCCCACGAGCTCCCAAGGAGGCCCCGGGTGGGGACTCCCCCGGGGCCACACCTGGTTCTGCCAGTGGCCACCTGGCCCAGCCTGAGAGTGACCGGGGGGACGGGAGGGGGGGGGGGGGGGTTCACTCTACTCCCCTTTTGGGCTCGGAACTCACCTGCACTTAGGCCGCGTGGCTGTGTCCTCTCCAACATGAAGGCGGAGGCATCAGAAGGGACTGGGGGCCCAAGGGTGGGACCCCCGAGGGATTGTGCCCGGGCTCTGGGGAGCCCAGCCGCTGTCCCTTCTGCCCCCACCACAGCCCTGCAGGGAGGGATGGGGGAAGAGATTCCCGGCCCCGAGAGCCTGGGCCCGCAGACAGCTATTTATGCTCAGCACGGGGACCGGGGGTGTGCAGGGACGGGCATCACTGTTGACTAGCGACTTCTGCGCTTGGCCAGTTATCTCAGAAATCTGCTGTGTCATTTTATTAGAAAGAAACCCGCGTGTGACTTCCCCGGATAACACTGCTTTTTCATAATAAAGACCGCTTCTGCGTCTGACATCTGTTCTGTTACCCACGTGCATGCACAGACACGTGTGCACGCACAACCACACAGGCACACACACCCACGTGCCCGTGCGCACGCGTACATGCGTGAACACAGCCGTGCACACACACACGCCCACTTGCACACACACGTATACACCCCCACGTGTGTGTGCACACGCACCCCCACTCCGGGCGACGGGTCTGCTTCGGGGCCGGGCTCTGCTCCTCCCGCCTCCCACTCCTAGCGGCCGGCCCCCAGCTCAGGGAGAAGACACCCTGCACAGGGAAGGCTTCCCTGCTCCGCTCAGAACAAAGCACACTTTAAAGGCAAATCAGGTTTTTATTTCAGTGACAACGTTCAAGAGTTAAAAACCAGCTCACGTCAAAATCAAGACCAGTAGTAAAAATCTTTTAACCCCGTAGTGCTGTGTTTGTCGCTTTAGAAATCTGATATTTTACATTTCCTTTTCTAACGGATTTTGTACAAGGCAGCCGTGAGGAAGGGAATAAACCTTTTTCACCACAGAACCGGCTGCCACTGGCAATACTGAGAGTCACACATTTAGGAACAGTCGGACCACGGACAAGACGGGATGGGCTGCCACCTCGGAGTAAACAGAGGACAGGGGTTCGAGGGTGGAGGTCCCCAGGGGCGAGCCGTCCTGCCCCTCCTCGGTGACTCTACTTCCCCCCCCCCCCCACCGGCCACCCCGGTGGGTTTCTCCACGGGAAGAGCAGGCCCCGGCCGGGCCTCCCTGCGTGGACTTAACCCCAGCTGTGATTTTTAAGGTTCCCCCAAGCCCAGAGGGAGGGGAAGGAGCGAGGGGTTGCGTGTTTTGGCTGAGCCAGAGAATAGGTTTCCAGAGCACTTGGTGCCCAGACCCGGGGGATTCGGCGGGGAAGCTGGTTATTTAAGGCGGGGTCCAGCCTTGAGGCTCCTTTCCAGCTAGGGCCCCCCCTCCCTGGCGGGGCTGTGCCCATGCTTAGGGAGGGTGTCCACAGGAAACCAGAGCCGCCTGCTCGGGCCTCTGGCTTTCATTTAAAGATGCACGCCCTGTTTTGCCTGTAGGACACTCCCAGGGTGCAGACCAGGGGCTCCAAAGTGGTAAAAACAGTTCAAAAAGCCGGGAGATCCAGCCTCCCCTCCTTCCGGGGACCCACGCCCCCGTAACCTCTTTGGAATACGGGGTTCAGACGCGGTTTCTGTGGCCCAGCACCCAGACAGGAGGGCCGTCCGTCCAAGTGCATAAAAACGGTCCACTTTTTTAAACGCATGTTTTGTGGAGCCCAAGGGCAGGTCGACATCTTCAGGAAAACCCCACGAGGCCAGAAAGGTAGGCCCCCGAGACCCCCTCGGGGCGGGCGCGGGGGAGGGCGGCAGCCAGGCCCTCCGACAGGGACGGCCACCAGACAGGGAAGAACGAACATGCCACGCGAGAAACGAAGAGCTCTGATCAGGCGGGAAGAAGGATGCTCCAGGTCCCGGGAGAGGGCGCACCGGGGACCGGAAGGGTTCTCTGGGAAACAGCCAGGCAGGCTCACGGACCCACTCGGGGAGGGGCGGCGGCACCCCCTCCAGGGAACAACGCAGCCTGCTCGTCTCCCTCCAACTTCAGCGCACGGACAAAACCGCACAAACCATTCGTCCGGGAGCGCGCGTTAACCAACGCCAAGGCGGAGGGGCGCTCGCGCGCATGCGCACACGCCCACTAACCAGAGAGGCGGGCTCAGGACGCCGCCTTTCATCTCCCCAATCGCAGGTGTGAGTCGTCCGGTTCCACAAAGGAGAAGGGGTGGCCTCCTGCACCCACATCCCAGCTCCGGACCCCCATAATCACAGCACCCCCCCAGAACCCCAGCAGCCTCAGAACTCTGCACCCCCAGAACCCCAGACCTCCAGAACCACGGCACCCCCAGAGTCCCAGCATCCCCAGAACTCCAGCACCCCCAGAACCACGGGACCCCCAGAATCCCAGACCCCCAGCACCCCCCCCAGAACCATGGCACCTCCCAGAACCCTGGACCCCCAAAACCACAGCACCCCCAGAACCCCAGATCCCCAGCCACAGTACCCTGCTCACTGGGACTCCAAACTCCCCAGGGTCCTGGTGTTCTCTCTCTGTGTCTCTCACTCCCAGCCTGGGGCTCACAGGGCAGAGGGAACCTAACTCGGGAAGACATAACTCCACTAATTTATCGGTGGAGACTGACGGCAGGGGCTTCTGGAAGGAAAGGGGATTGGCGGAGCCTCGGAGAATCAGAGTAAGTCCTCCCGACTTCAACGCAGGCTAGATTTCGGGAAGGACAGGAAGGCCTGGGGTGGGAGTAGCTGTGCCTATGACCTCGTACCTTCTGGGGAGCCCCGACGACCAAGTGTGGAAGGAGGGATGGGCACCTGGGAACCCAGGAGGCAGGGCTGGAGAGGACACCCCCAGGGTACCTGCCCCTGCCTACAGGGGAGCCGCAGGGCTGGGGGAGGGGGGTGCCGCACACTGGAGAGAGCGGGGTGGGGGCCGGGAGCCCGGACCCCTCCAGCCCCAGCAGGTCTGCTGGGCAGGTCACAGCAGCCGCTGCGGGGAGGACGCTGGCCACATGGGAGCCGCGAGAGGTAGACACGGAGCAGAAGCGACACGGGCCCACGCAGGTGCCTGGACTCGGGCACAGCCCCGCCTGGAGGAGCTGGGCCAGCCTCAGGGGCTCCGAAGCAGGCCGGGGCGGGTGTGGGCCTGGGCTGGGCTGCAGGAGAGCCCTGCCGACGTCACGGGACGGCCCAGGAGGAGGGCGTGGGCCCCAAACCAAGCTGAGTGGCAGGCGGAAGGGAAAAGAGTACAACAGTTTGAGCCAAAATGACACGCGCCCCCGGAACGCTGGGATCTCAGCTCTGTGCCCTCCAGGAGCCAAAACAGAGTCGGCGTGAGCAGCGCTGGGGAGGGCGAGCCCGGCCCCCGGGGTGGGGGGTGTCCCTGCTGCCGGGACACGTGGTTTTGGTCTGGGCATCAGTGCAAAGCACACTGCCTCACGGAGCCGGGACCCCTTCCCATCCCCCTCCCTCCCCGAGCGGTGGGGCGACAGTGAGGGCCCCCCCAGAGCCCCTCTCTCAGACAGTGTGGAAGGTGGAGCCGGGGTGGTCTGAGGGGCCCTGAGGCCCAGAAACCCCAGGGCACAGAAGTGCAAGACAGAAGACAGCCCAGGAGTCAGAAACCGCGCACCAGTCTCAGCCGGGGGGACCTTCCAATTCCGTAAGGAAGCCAGGGCCCAGAGAGGGCGACGAGGGGCTCAAGGGCTCTCAGCCAGCCCAGCCGGGCCAGCGCCCAGGGCCGCAGCCTCCCCAGGGAGGGCCCCAGGCAGGACCCCGGGAAGAGGAACGGCCGTCCTCTCGGGCCGCGGGTGAACGGCAGGAATACCGAGGACAAGACGGGGACAATGGACAGCCGCAGAAGGACAGACCGTCAGCACCAGACCCCGCCACCCCCCCCCACCCCCGCAAGGGCCGTGGACAGACAACGCGGACACAGGAGGAGCCCCGGGGGATGTCCCCTCCCTCCCAGAAAGTGGCCACCTTGCCACAGGAAAGCCAGGCCCATGAGGCTGACCCAGGATGTCACAGGGGGGCCGGCACGATGCCACTTGTCCGTCCCCCAGGCCGCTGGGAGGCTGCACCTGCCGGCGGCTGCTGATCCCCGGTCTGGCGGCTTCTCCCTTTAGGGCCTGCGTGGGCCCCAGAAAGGTGGTCGACTCTGTCAGACCAGCCAGCTCGGGGCAGGCCCGCCCCCCAGGACTCCACGGACACCGCCCCTGACGGGCTCGCGGTCCCAGGTCCCGCGCGGGGAGGCAGCCGCGGCTGCGGAGACCCTGGGGTCTCACCCCCTCGTGGCCCAGGGAGCCCCCTCCCCGGGGCTCGGCAGGGTCCCTCCCCGCTCTGCTCGGACACCGCTGGACACACACGGGGGCGGGGAAAAGCAGGAAACGGCTCATCTCGGGGAGCAGCACCCCCCACCCCCGCCCGGCCCCGGCCCTCTGCGCGCAGCCCGGCTCTCAGGGCACCGACTCGAACTTGGGGGGCCCGCGCGCCCAGCTGAGCGCGGGCAGGGGCCGCTCCTGGTCCTTGTCGGACTCGGGCTGGCTCTGGGCCCGCTCGGGCTTGGGGTTGGCGGGCGGGTGGGGCTGCTGCACGGACATGGTCCTGCGCAGGTGGTTGCGCTTCCGCAGGAACTCGGGCTGCGCGTGCAGGCCGAAGCTGCCCTTGCGCAGCACCATCCGCGAGTTGTTCTTCTTCGGGCGCGAGCGGTGGCCGGCCTCCAGCGTCGCCAGGTGGGCCGCGTAGCCCTCGCTCAGGAACTGCGGAGGGGACGGGCGTCAGCCAGCGGGGCGGTGACCCGGGGGGGGACCCCCCCCCCCCCCAAAAACGTCGCCGGGGGGACGGGGGGGCCCCCCCCCCCCGCCAAAATCGTCGCCGGGGAGACGGGGAGCTCCCCGCCCGCCTCTGAACGTCTGAGTTCGACCCTGGGAGCTCCCTGCCCGGCTCTGAGCGTGTGAGCTCGACCCTCTGTACCCGCGGGGCACACCGTCCTCGTCACCCGTCACTGAGATCCCCAAACGCAAGTCTGCGCCATATCCGGCTTCCGCCCCGCGGAGCTCCGTCGGGTGCTGGCCCCGCTGTTGTCCTCCCTGCCCATCACCCCCCCACCGGGTCCTCAGGCCCTTGCCCCCCCCCCCCCAGAAGGGGGCCGCGGACCAGCAGCCTCAGCGGGACCGGGGCCCTGACAGGCAGAACCTCAGCCACCGCCCCCCCGCCCCCACCAGGCCTAT